CGGGAGTTAATGCAGCAAAACACATTGTACACCCCTGCGGGAGTTAATGCAGCAAAACACATCCTGCACCCCTGCGGGAGTTAATGCAACAAAACACATCGTACACCCCTGCGGGAGTTAACGCAGCAAAACACATCCTACACCCCTGCGGGAGTTAATGCAGCAAAACACATCCTGCACCCCTGCGGGAGTTAATGCAACAAAACACATCGTACACCCCTGCGGGAGTTAATGCAACAAAACACATCCTACACCCCTGCGGGAGTTAATGCAACAAAACACATCGTACACCCCTGCGGGAGTTAATGCAACAAAACACATCGTACACCCCTGCGGGAGTTAATGCAACAAAACACATCCTGCACCCCTGCGGGAGTTAATGCAACAAAACACATCCTGCACCCCTGCGGGAGTTAATGCAACAAAACACATCCTGCACCCCTGCGGGAGTTAATGCAGCAAAACACATCCTGCACCCCTGCGGGAGTTAATGCAGCAAAACACATCCTGCACCCCTGCGGGAGTTAATGCAACAAAACACATCCTACACCCCTGCGGGAGTTAATGCAGCAAAACACATCCTACACCCCTGCGGGAGTTAATGCAGCAAAACACATCCTGCACCCCTGCGGGAGTTAATCATCCTACACCCCTGCGGGAGTTAATGCAACAAAACACATCCTACACCCCTGCGGGAGTTAATGCAGCAAAACACATCCTGCACCCCTGCGGGAGTTAATCATCCTACACCCCTGCGGGAGTTAATGCAACAAAACACATCCTACACCCCTGCAGGAGTTAATGCAACAAAACACATCCTACACCCCTGCAGGAGTTAATGCACACAAGCATGTTAAAGGTTCTGACAAGTCCTAAAGAAGTCAATTCACCTTTATTTAATCCTGCATTCCCCAAACTTAACTGCCCATGATCTCTTTTCCACGGAAGATCTTTAAACAGCCTATGGATCAAATGCTAGGGAAGGCCAACCCAGCCCAAGGTCATGCATCGGCTTCCAGGCGACTCAGACCTCCTAACTCTCCATCCAGAGCTCTTTCCATTAGAAATTTCAAATAAAAACCAGAGGCGACTCACTCACAATTTAGAAAAAGATAAGTAAAAAACTGTCAATTAGGCATCCCAAAGAACAGTATAAAACAATAGCAAGATGGCGGGAATGAAGGCAACCCGGAGAGTGTGAATGCCTCACATCAAAAGCGCAATAGCTACTCAGCTCCTCCTGATTATCGCTGTGCAGGCTGTGGGAGCAGTGTGGCCAGATCTTTTCTAGGGAAACCAGAAATCTTTTTTTTTTTCCTCTTTTGAGACAGTCTCACTCTGTCGCCCAGGCTGGAGTACAATGATGCAATCTCCACTCACTGCAACCTGTCTCCCAGGTTCAAGTGATTACTGTGGCTCACTCAGTCTCCCGAGTAGCTGGGATTACAGATGCGCGCCACCATGCCTGACTCATTTTTGTATTTTTAGTGGAGGCAGGGTTTCACCATGTTGGCCAGGTTGGTCTCATCCTAACCTCAAGTGATCTGCCTGCCTCGGCCTCCCAAGTGCTGGGATTACAGGCATGAGCCACTATGCCTGGCCAAAACTTTTTTTTTTTGAGATGGAGTCTTGCTCTGTCGTCCAGGCTGGAGTGCAGTGGCACCATCCCAGCTCACTGCAACCTCCACCTCCCGGGTTCAAGCAATTCTCCTGCCTCAGCCTCCCGAGTAGCTGGAACTACAGGCACCTGCCACCACACCTGGCTAATTTTTTATATTTTTAGTAGAGACGGGGTTTCACTGTGTTAGCCAGGATGGTCTCGATCTCCTGACCTCGTGATCCACCTGCCTCGGCCTCCCAAAGTGCTGCGATTACAGGCGTGAGCCACCATGCCTAGCCCGAAATCTCATTTTTTAAAAAATACAAAATCACTCTAGTTTGTTTTTTTGAGACAAAGTTTTGCTCTTTTCGCTCAGGCTTCAGTGCAATGACGGGATCTCGGCTCACTGCAACCTCGCCCAGGGAATCTCTCCCAGGCTGCAACCTCGCCCAGGCTGGAGGGCAGTGGCACCACCCTGGCTCACTGCAACCTCCACCTCCCGGGTTCAAGCAATTCTCCTGCCTCAGCCTCCTGAGTAGCTGGGATTACAGGCATGTGCCACCACGCCCAGCTAATTTTTGTTTTTAGCAGAGACGGGGTTTCTCCATGTTGGTCAGGCTGGTCTTGAACTCCCGACCTCAGGTGATCCGCCTGCCGTGGCCTCCCAAAGTGCTGGGATTACAGGCGTGAGTCACCATGCCCAGCCAAAAATCACTCTAGTTTCTAAGCATTAGTGCTGTGTGGGTCAAATAAAGCATGCCTGCAGGCCCACTGTAAGTCTTCTATAGCTTACAGGTCACAAGTTTGAGAACTGTGGTCTAAGTAAATTTCTATCTATGAAATAACTGGTACTTCAGAAGAAACCAAAGTTTGATAATACACATGGGCTATCAGATTTTAAAATAAAGACAGTCAGGCATGGGGGTAAGGTGGCTCACACCCATCCCAGCACTTTGAAAGGCTGAGGTTGGAGGATTGCTTGAGGCCAGGAGTTTGAGACCAGCCTGGGCAACATAGTGAGACCCTGTCTCTATCCCAAAATAATTATATGATAAATTATCATATTATAAATGTTCTCACCTGAAAATGAGAAAAGCCTTAGAGACATACAGTGGAATATATAGTTCACTATCTACTTTCCAATACCCAATATGAAGTTCAGCACTTCCGTTAACATGTGGTGGCGCATACACCCTCAGTGACGTCACCAAAACCCTTTAAGGAAGACTCACTCTGCCAGGTACTCTACTGGATCCCAACAAGGTAAAGCTACAGGAGCAGCCCATGGATTTCCTGCAGACACTAGTTTCCTTCAAGTGTTTATGAAAGCTAAAATGAGTGTACAGGCAGGGGTTAGTCCCTTGAGAAATGATGACCTGAGCTATTCAATCACTGGACATGTACAAGACAGTCTCAGTGGAGTACCACTCATATCTCTTGAGTGCTCAGTACACTCAACTGAACCGGGAGTCAAAACCATGTGTTAAATGAGCCTCGCAGGGTGAACACACTGGCCAATGAATGGAGGCTTTTTCTTTTAATGGTAGATGTACAGTGTTCTCTTAAAAGGAAACTCAATGCTTGTTCTAAAAAGCCAGAATCGTAAAGTAACTAAAGCTCTAAATCAGCCCAAGGTATACAGCACACATCCCAAATTATCTAGTGCTCAGGCTTAAAGTGTGAAACAGCAGCACTGGGAGAGATTTTCAGGAGGACTGTGGAACTTCTGAGGCCCCCACACCAATCAACATTTCCCCAAAAAAGGTGCCAGTGAAGAAGAGATTTGGGCCTAAAAATCTGTCAAAAGGTTACTTTCTACTAATTCTACAATGGCTTGGTCACACTCATTTGAGTGTAGTGCCACCACGATGCTGAACTTCATGAAGCACCATTTACACTGCATTCTGTATCAATATTATGTGCTGTAGTTACACAATCCAGAGGCATTGAGTGAGTCTATCTAGATCAAAACAGATCTAATGCTTTTTTAAAAGCATTAAAAAGCATTAGTAGTTTCTCAGGAGAACAATTTCTATGTAGGTGATGACTGGCAGACAGCTGGCTGGTCCAGCTTGTGGAAGGCTGCTGTCAACCTACAACGCACTGTGGTATCACACTATCCTAACAAGCGATTGCTTGCGCGTGATGACAGGTGCTACTAAATTATCAGCGGTAGACTTTCTAGGAACATTCAAAAATATTTTTAGGAAAACTGAACAACATAAACCAGACTTGGATCTACTCATTCAGAGGTCCCCTTGTAACCTAGACAGACAGGATAAAGACGGCCGTGGAACATCATTTTGTCTTATCTGAACTAGTTGAAGAAACACTACTTCTGCTAACCAGCCAATGACTTGGGAAAAGTAGACAAGATGTTTTTTAATATCCAGCAGTTTTTTAGATCTTCATCCATGGAACTGAATGAGATCACATTTCTTTCTTTCTTTTTTTTTGAGACAGTGTCTCACTCTGTCACTCACGCTGGAATGCAGCAGAGCAATCACGGTTCACTGTAGCCTTGATCTCCATGCTCAAGCTATCCTCTTGCCCCAGCTTCCCAAATAGCTGAGACAATAGCTGAGACTGCAGGGGTGGCCACCACATGCAGCTAATTTTTTAAATTTTTAGTAGAGACAAGGTCTCACTATGTTGCCCAGGCTGGTATCAAACCCCTGAGCTCAAGCAGTCCTCCTACTTCAGCCTCCCAAAGTACTGAGATTACAGGCTTGAGCCACTGTGACTTGCCCAGATCACATTTCTACTACCCTATAGAATGGATGTAAATTACCTGCTTGTGCCAAACATTAACTCACTAGACTTCACACTGCTGGGGATAATTTTTACATTTTATTTGACATCTTCAGAGACGACTTCTCAATCTAAGAATGCCACGCTCAGGGTAAACCAACAACTGATGCACTTTGCTGCAAAGAGTCCAAAGGATATACACGGAGGCTTCAAGATGTCAGAGGGAAAGCCTAGTTGATAAGGTGTTGGACTTCACACACCAGACTTAATAGAAACTGCAGGTTCAAATCCCAGCAGGGTCAACTGAGATTCTATTAAGATCTGCTAGAAAAACTGAGCATGAGACACTTCACTGTCTGACAAATTTAAGAGGGCCTTACAGACTGTCTCTGGGGTTTATGAGGAGACATAAAAGGGGAAAAAGCTTTGCATTTAATATACCGTCTTTTAGTTCTATTTAATGGTGAGAAAAATCACATCTCTGCAACATGCTGTGTATATAACAAAGAAACAGAAGTATCACCTTCCAGATGCCCAAATGAGATCCTTTGAGTAAGTTTACCATCAGCATACAGTATTACAAATTTCTAACATTCCATTCTTGCCCAATGCAAATCTATATGCAATAAACCTAAAATTACCCACCAACCTGTTTTTTTCTTTAGTTTTTAAAGGCCATCAAATCCTTGGAGATAGTATGGACCTCCAGCTGTTAACATTCAGAAGGAACACACTTACAGCCCTGTCTCCATTGGGCTTATTACTGCTCCAGTCAATGGTGCATTTCAGAGCTGAGAACAAATCCAATGAAGTTTTCACTGCTAGTAGTAAACACCACTGCTTCAACAATCCACATTAGGTCAGCATTTAACAGAGGGTTTCCCTCTGGAGCAGGTTGTCCAAGAATATGAGTTCAACCACTGGCTCAAGAGAAGCGGAATGTCTTCTCAATGGTTCAAAATTCACTTTATGTTCAACTACAGGCCTTCTGCAAACTGAGGATCTGAGCCCTTTAAGGCAGTGACTATAATTCTTCCCGGACATAGAAGGCCAACAAGTTGACTGTCACACATCAGCACAGAGCGAAAGCCACTACATATTAGTAGCCAGTGAGAAACAAGGTTCAGGACCCTGTACTGTAGAGGAGAGCACCGTAACACACCAGCAAGCAGAGTGGTGGAAGGGGAGCTGGGTGGTATGTTCATCCATTATAGCCATGGGTGGATCTGAAGTCTAAGTAAGATGGATACTCACTACCGTACTGGTTGGCACCTAGGCAGTAAAGTAACAATTCATCAGATAAAATTTTAGGTGGAACCACAGGTTTGGAAAGTTCTGGGATCCAATATAATGTCTATAGGAGCATCAATATATAACATGAAAAGTCAGTATCAGGGAAACAGGTAGGGTTCCCTCCCCTGGAATACTGGAAAGAGATGTAAAGACCATATCTTCAAGCGCCCGAGTGAAGACCTTCTTCTAACACAATGACTCCTGTGGCTTTCTGTTAGGAATCAAGCAGTAATTAGTTATAGCCCAACTTTTAAAGTATCAGTGCGCTTACAATTACATAAGAAGAGAAGAGAACATAAGACATCTAACAGCGGAAGTTTAAGTGTTAGGGCTAACTTGTAAGTAAGTCTGAGATACAATTTAAGAGCACGTTCTGTTCTAATGAGTATTTTTGGCAGGTCCCATATTCACTCTCTAGGGAAGCCTGGAGCCTTTTAAAACCCAGTTAATTTAACTCTGACAGAATGTACGACATTGTCAGACAGTAAAGTTTCAATGTCGGAATGAGGCCATATCATTCTCCCAACCAGAGGCAAGATTGCCATGAGAAATTTCTGCCTCTTGGGGACCACCCCCACACTTGTAACACCTCCCTCTCTCCCCTCTCCAAAGAGCACCCTCACATATAAGATGCCCTCGAGTTCCTTCTACTCAACACAAAGTCTAAAGACGTCGTTCCCCAAGTTTTAACAAGCTACTGGGCGTGAGACAGCTGCTTTACGTCTACACCCAGATCCTCCCCGTGGGCTTCCCGGACCCCTCCCCTCGCGAGGTTCAGAACCCCGCGCTGGCTACACTGTGGGTCCACGCTGGCCGCTGGGGCACGATGGGGCCAGAAGCTCTAGGCAAACCCTTTTCCAGCGACTTCAAGCACCTGGGAGACCCGCCCGACAGGTCGGGCCTGGGCCTCGCAGTGGCGCCTTATCCCCCTGGCTCCTCCCGGCTGTAGGAACCCCACGGAACGGCCCGGCCTGGCTGAGACGTCGGTTCAGGCTGCCTCCCGCCCCCAGGCCCGAACTCCTCTTCCCCGCCCGCCAGGCCCCGCCTCGAGATCTCGTGTTCCTGCCAGCCGGCTGCGCCCGTACCTGTCGGACCCGGTGCAGGGCGTCCACGATGCCCTCGGCCTTCATCCCCACAGGAGCGCTCTGCCCCTGCACCAGCTCCGCCATTACCGCCCCCGCCGCCGTCGCCCCCGCAGCCGACGCCGCCGCTTGGCTCCCCGGTCCGGCCTCCCGCTCTGCTTGGGGACCCGTAGCCGGAAAAGGAAAGTCGCCCTACTTCCGGCGGAAGGGAAGCCGGGACGCTCGCAGCTCTCAGCTAGAGGAGCCGCGTCTGCGGGGGCGGGGTCAGGGCACGTGACCTTCGACCGATCGGAAGTGGGGGCGGGAGGGCAGCGCCGGGGTGGGTTCAGATCGCCAGGCATCCGTCGGTCTCCAGGGTCCGGTCGCGACCCTTCCCTTCCCGGGCGAGATGTGGTCCAGGATCGTCGATGGCGTCTTGACAGGTCCCTGAGGCTTGGATGTGGTCCCGAGGTGTCCTCTGTCGGCCGTTTGGAATCTCAGAGGGACTGACGTGGCTCTCCCAAGACGACACCCTGAACGTGGTTCATCAAAAGCCTGGTCCTGGGCAGTCCCTCCCTGAAATGGCTATTAGTTGGAAAGTTGGGGGCTGAGCGCTTTGAAATGGCACTGGGACAGCACCACAGAATGTCAGCGTCCCACGTTTGCGAGGAGTCCTGGGCCCCAGTTCTTACACTGCAGTTTGCATGAGGATGGGCCGCCGCCACTTCTGCCTGGGGCTGTCTGGTGACGCCCCCAGGAGGGACGCGCCCACTGAAAAGCCAGCGTGGTGTCAACTCTGGGACTCTGGGGGTGCAGGAAGTACCACAGGACCATCGTTACTCCCATGCCTGCTGAGTCAAAACTGTATTGCAGGAGGCTTCTTGCAACGCCCGTGTAACTTTAATGGAAGTGACTAGGTACAGCTGTTCTACAGCAAGGAAGGAATCTTAGTGCTAGAATTCAGTTGAGCCTTTGAATTGGCTCTTCTTATAAGTGAGCAAACAAGTAACAAGGTTTAGGAGGCCCCCATTTTTGTATTAGCACGATTGCCTTTGTGCCTATTATTTCCCAAGCCCTATTATGACTAGGAATTGGACTTAATGAAGAACCATGTTGTCAAACATTTTATGCCCATCTTGAAGTTGTGAAGGAAGATAAGCACCAAGAAAAGGAAATAAAATCCAATATGGGCCAGGTGCGGTACCTCACGCCTGTAATCTTAGCAGTTTGGGAGGCCAAGGCAGGCAGAACTCTTGAACCCAGAAGTTCAAGACCAGCCTGGGCAGCATAGTGAGACCCCGTCTCTACAAAAAATATAATTAGCCGGGTGTGGTGGCATACACCTGTAGTCCCAGCTCCTTGGGAGGCCAGAGGGGGAGGATCACCTGAGCCCTGGAGGTCAAGGCTGCAGTGAGCTATGATCCCACCACTGCAGTACAGCCTAAGTGATAGCAAGACGCTTTCTTGGGGAAAAAAATTCCCATATGACTTTCCTTGATGACCCCACCCTCAACCCGCACTGTGTCATTATGCCAAGAGAGGTTTGGGCATTCTAAAGAAGTATGAGGAATACTTGATCAATAACATAGCATAGTTCTTTATTTGTGAATCACTTCTTTCCTAGACTATGAGTTACTTTAGAACAGAGATTTATTTTTCCCTGTATCCCTAGGGTTTGGCACATGGTCGGTGCTTAGTAAACTTATTTTGTATTCAATAATGCCAAGTAGAATAATTCATAAATTATGGAAAAATAAAAGAATTTGGCAAAATTGCAAGCTCGAAGATCGCTTTCAGGAAAAATGTTTCAACCCCTGCTCAAAAGTACATAGCTTGCTGTGTTGTTGAAGTGCCAGCATGAGGAGGATCATGCCAACACATCCATTTATTGCCCATTCTGGGTGTGTGGAGTGTTTTAACTTTGCTATGCTTCTAAAAATCAAGGAATGGCAATGGTATCAACTTTCATGAACACAGTTGTTCACGTGAACCCAATATCAGTGATAACTTCTGTTTTGAATTTTTAAAATATATCTCTGAGGTTAGAATGTTGATTCATGCATAGTCCAGCTGGCTTTGCCTATGAATATAAATAGTGAAAACAAGGCTGTTGGCCCAAATATAAGTTATATTCCAAGGTTTGGTCCAAAGACCGGAGAATCTGTAAGTAGGAAGATAGAGTTTTGTTTCCCCCTCTTTTACTGGTTGAATAACTTTCAACAGGTCACTTATATTTGGGGGCATAGAATATGCAGATGACCCTGTCATGACGTTCTACTAACACCCTAGACTTCATCATCTTGTTATAGCACTTACCACAGTTGCTTTTAAATCATCATGCAGTTATATGTTTATTGTCTGCCTTTTCCCCTAGAATAAAGCCTCTGCTGACATAAGGTCTATGTCTTGTTAGTTGCTCTCCCTACCACCTAGCACCAATGCCTGACATTTGATTGGCTCTCAGTATTTGTGAAATGAATGAAGGAGAATGCTCTTGTCCAAAGAAGACAGGGAAAGATTCTTAGAGATTAAAAAAGAAAACTTTGGCTGGGCGTGGTGGCTCACACCTGTAATCCCAGCACTTTGGGAGGCCGAGACGGGCAGATTATCTGACGTCAGGAGTTCGAGACCAGCCTGACCAACATGGTGAAACCCCATCTCTACTAAAAATACAAAAATTAGCAAGGTGTGGCGGTGGGCACCTGTAATCCCAGCTACTTGGGAGACTGAGACAGGAGAATCGCTTGAACCCGGGAGGCAGAGGTTGCAGTGAGCCAAGAAATGTGCCATTGCACTCCAGCGTGGGCAAGAAGAGCAAAACCTTGTCTCAAAAAAAAAAAAAAAAAAAGAAAAAGCCAGGCGCAGTGGCTCACACCTGTAATCCCAGCACTTTGGGAGGCCCAGGCAGGTGGATCACCTGAGGTCAGGAGTTCAAGACCAACCTGGCTAACATAGTGAAATGCTGTCTCTATAAAAAAAAAAAAAAAGATAAATTAGCCAGGCATGGTGGCAGGTGCCTGTAATCCCAGCTACTTGGGAAGCTGAGGCGGGAGAGTCACTTGAACCTGGGAAGTGGAGGTTGCTGTGAGCCGAGATCATGCCACTGCAGTCCAGCCTGGGCAACAGAGCAAGACTCAGTCTGAAGAAAAAAAAAAAAAAAAAGAAAGAAAAGAAAAATCCACATACTGTGGTTGTGAGTAGTTTTGCAAACCTTTCCTATTGATAACATTGCAATGCCTCTAGTTACCACCAACTAGAAGCCACGCTAAAATGAAATTGTATCAATAAGGAGAGTCTAGGTTATGCTACAGTAACAAGGCTTAAAACTTCAGTAGCTTACAACAATACAGGTTATTTCTCACTCGATACATGAACATGGTGGTGCCTCCACTACATGTCCTATTTAGTCTTCAGCCAAGGTTGATAGCAGCCTCTGTCTAGAACATTAAACTTCATCAGGGCAGAGGAAGAAGCGAGTGACAAAGCGCGAACTGGTTTTTAAAGCTTCTGCCTCAAGTGCTAGGCACTACTTTTGTTCGTGTTTTATTGGTTGAAGAATGTGTGCCTGTTGTCAATAGGATGCAGAAGTATGAAGCATACATTGGCTTTTAAAGCTTTGCCTAGAAGTGACTGGCATGTGGCACTTCTGCTCACGTTTAATTGGTCAAAGCAAGCCGTGGCCAAGCACTGATCAAGTGGCAGAGAAATATAGTTCATCTCCAGGGAGAAACAGCAAATATGTTTGAATAGTAACACGATTTTTCAAATAAATCAAGAGAAAAAAAGTAAGCATGGAGAATGTTGTACAGTAGATTTTAAAGGATATAACATGGGTGGTTTCCAACATTCATTAACTACCCTAAAGACCCTCAGCATCCGGTCATTTGTAATTTGGGGAAGCTTTGCATTGCCATCCCAAGATCTGCGTTGTTTGTATCTCTAAGGCAGAAATAGCTTATAGCAATAGATCGTGAGTGAGAGGATTCTCCATTTAGAGATTTTTACAGGTCCTCAGACCAGACCTTTTCCAATGTCAAGGGTCCACTGGAATGTCAAGTGCAGACTAAACAGCATGTCAGCATGAAATCTGAAAATTTAAAAATAGAATTATGAAGACTGTCCAACACTGACTGAGGGATACAGGCATGTCTTAGAGCAATAGGAGTGATCCAACTATTGGAATAGTGCTTTGTCTTAGTATCAGAGAGTAAATTAGAATCTACCTTTAATAGGGAATGCGTGTGTGTGTGTGTGTGTGTATGTATATATATAATTGTCACTTAGTGATGGGATTATGTTCTGAGAAATGCATTACTGTGTGAACATCTCAGCATACTTACACAAACCAAGATAGTATAGCCTACTACAACACCTAGGCTATATGGTGTAGGCTATTGCTCCTAGGTTACAGACCTGTACAGCATGGTACTATATGGACTACTGTAGGCGGTTATAACATAATGGTAGGTATTTGTGGATCTAAACATATCTAAACATAGAAAGGATCCAGTAAAAATACAGTGTTATAATCTTTTTTTTTTTTTTTTTTTTTGACGGAATCTTGCTCTGTCTCCCAGGCTGGAGTGCGGTGGCATGATCTTGGCTCGCTGCAACCTCCACCTCCCGGCTTCAAGCAATTGTCTCTGCCTCAGCCTCCCAGGTAGCTGAGATCACAGGCGCCCACCACCACACCCAGCTAATTTTTGTATTTTTAGTAGAGACGGGGTTTCGCCATGTTGGCCAGGCTAGTCTTGAACTCCTGACCTCAGGTGATCCACGCGCCTCGGCCTCCCAAAGTGCTGGGATTACAGGCGTAAGCCACCGCGCTAGGCCCAGTGTTATAATCTCGTGGAACCACCGTCGAATATGCTGTCGATTGTTGACAGGAACGTGACTGTATATCTCCCTGATTCCACCTTTGGCCTCGTACCACCCTGCTGGTACCATAGAGTAGTGCTACACCCTCAAGTAAGTTCTAAGAAACTTAGTAAATTTGGCTAGTAAATTTTTTGGGACCACACTTGTCCAAAACAATCTATTCGGCCTTCACTCTTTAAAAAAATTATTATTTTTTAATAGAGACAGGGCCTTACTATGTTGCCCAGGCCGGTCTTGAACTCCTGGGCTCAGGCAGTCCTTCTGCCTTGGCTTCCCAAAGTGCTGAGATTATAGGCATGAGCCAACTCAGCTGGCCCCTCAAAATTAATGATTTAGCTAGTTATAGAGCTCTGGATTATAAATAATTCTCCTTTAGAACACTGAAGGCATCTCTTATTGTCTTCTAGCATCTCATATATATATGTGTGTATATATATAACACACACATACACATATATACACGCATACATATAAATATATATATACATTATATACAAATATATATATTTTTTGAGATGGAGTCTCACTCTGTCACCCAGGCTGGAGTGCAGTGGTGCAATCTTGGCTCACTACAACCTTCTCTTTCTGGGTTCAAACGATTCTCCTACCTCAGTCTCCTGAGTAGCTAAGATTACAGGCACGCACTACCATGCCTGGCTAATTTTTGTATTTTTAGTAGAGACAGGGTTTTGCCATGTTGGCCAGGTTGGTCCCCAATCCCTGACCTCAGATGATCTGCCCACCTTGGCCTCCCAAAGTGCTAGGATTACAGGTGTGAGCCACCTCACTGGCTCCAACATTTCTTTGAACAGTTTTATTGCTGTGCGTGGTGGCTCACTCCTGTAATCCTAGCGCTTTGGGAGACCAAGGTGGGCAGATCACTTGAGGTCAAGAGTTCGAGCCTGGCCAACATGGCGAAATCCTGTCTCTACTAAAAATACAAAAATTAGCTATGCATAGTGGTGCATGCTTGTAGTCCCAGCTACTCAGGAGGCTGAGGCAGGAGGATCTCCTGAACCTGGGAGGTGGAGGTTGCAGTGAGCTGAGATGGTGCCACTGCACTCCAGCCTGAGTGACAGAGCGAGACTCTGTCTCAAAAACAAACAAAACAGAACAACACAACAACAAAACAAAAAACAAGAAACTATAAACCTACTTTCCAAAGTGGTTGTACCAGGCCAGACATGGTGACTCACCTATAACCCCAGCACTTTAGGGGGCCAAGGTGGGAAGATCCCTTGAGCTCAGGAGTTTGAGACCAGCCTGGGCAACATTGTGAGACCCTCTCTCTAAAAAACAAAACAAAACAAACAAAAACAACAAAATGCTTGTACCATTTTTTAGATTTTTTCATTCTTGTAAGCAACATGTGAACATTCCAGTTTTCCAGTTTCTTTACCTACTTGACAACATTTGAGTCTGGTCACATTTTAAACTTTAGCCCCCTTTTTTTTTTTTTTTTTTGAAACAGGATCTCACTCTGTCACCCAGGTTGGAGTTCAGTGGCGCGATCTTGGCTCACTACAACCTCCACCTCCTGGGTTCAAGCAATTTGTCTGCCTCAGCCTCCTGAGTAGCTGGGACTACAGGCCACCACGCCCGGCTAATTTTGTATCTTTAGTAGAGACAAGGTTTCACCATATTGGCCAGGCTGGTCCTGAACTCCTGCCACCTCGGCCTCCCAAAGTGCTGGGATTACAGGTGTGAGCTACCACGCCTGGCCAACTTTAGCCATTCTAATAGGTATGTTGTACCATTTCATTGTAGTTTCAATTTGCATTTATTTATTTATTATTTATTAATTTTTCCGAGACAGAGTTTCACTCTTGTTGCCCAGGCTGGAGTGCAATGGCAAAATCTCAGCTCAGTGCAACCTCTGCATCCCAGGTTCACACAAGTCTCCTACCTCGGCCTCCCAAGTAGCTGGGATTACAGGAATGTGCCACCATGCCTGGCTAATTTTTTTTGTGTTTAGTAGAGACGGGGTTTTACCAGGTTGATCAGGCTGATCTCGAACTCCTGACCTCAGGTGATCCACCGCCCCGGCCTCCCAAAATGCTTGGATTATAGGTGTGAGCCACCGTGCCTGGACTGAATTTACATTTAATTAATAACTAATGCTGTTGAATATCTTTTTCTATGCTTATTTGCCATTTGATATTTTGTTTTGCTTTGTTTTTAGCAAACAACTCTGCTAATTTATTTGCCATTTGTAGATGTTCTCTGATGAACTGTCTGTTTAAAAGTTTTGCCCATTTTAGAAGTTGGGTTTTTAAAAAATTTGGGGGACGTTGAAGGTTCTTTATATACTGTATACAAGTCTTTTATAAAATATGTGATTTGCAAATATTTTCTTTTTTTTTTTTTTTTTTTTTTTTTTTTTGAGACGGAGTCTCGCTGTGTCTCCCAGGCTGGAGTGCAGTGGCATGATCTCGGCTCACTGCAAGCTCCGCCTCCCGGGTTCACGCCATTCTCCCGCCTCAGCCTCCCAAGTAGCTGAGACTACAGGCGCCC